GCAACAAGCCGATATGGAAGAAATTCGATATAGTTTAACATGCATCTAGAGTAGTTTATAGATAGTAGTTCTTGTACAAGAAATACAAATGTAAATTAAATAAAGTATGTTAGGCAAGGCCTGGCTAGTTGAAAAAAAAAAATAAAATAAAATAAATTATATTTAAAAACTTAGACTATTGACAAATAAGTTGAATTAAGAAGATTTATACTTTATATATATTTTTATACTTGTAATAGTTTTATAATTTAATAAATAAATAATTTTAACTTGATTATAAATTTAAAAAAATTTTTTTTTTTTTTTATATTTTAGAATTATAAAAATTATATTAAGATAATAGTTTTAAATAATAGATTGACATTAATAACTTAAATTAACTAGAATATCTTTTTAAAAAAATACAACTTTTTTTTTTCTTATAAATATATTAAGGATTTTTTACTATTGATAAATATGTTACATAATATTAATAAGTTTAGCTATAATATACAGTATATATTTATATAATATCTATATTAGGGTTTTCTTTATAAAAAGATTAATAAAATAATAATAATAATAATAATACATAGTTAATCCCATTAATCCGAACCCTGTTAAACCGAAGTACTAATTAAAATCCTATTAAACCAAAGTTTATTCAAAAACTGTCATATTGTAAATTACCTTGTTAAATCGAATTTACTAGGTAAACCTCTCTAAACCGAATTTTCCAAAAAATTTTACTAATAGTCCCGGCCACTTCGGTTTAACGGGATTCACTGTGTAGTTATTTTTTTATTAACTATAAATAATAAACTACAATAAATATTCTGATATACAGTATAGACAATTACGTAAATAACGGATCATGAAATTTGAAATGCACACGTGATAAATACGTAATTCGAAAATAAAAATTCTAAATGTGATTCGAATTGTTCAGTTGAGAGGAATGATCTGAACCGTACAATTTGTGAACATACTCGAAAGAATGCCCAAACCCAAAGAGACACCTTCAATCAAATCGGACGATTCTCTTCAATTTATATTAGAAGGGGATACGAAAAAGTTATTTCTTCTCACAATTTATGTCGGAACAGTGATACTGGGATTTATATACTGGGCTATAGCCTCTCCAAATGAATCTTTATGGTCTCAAAAGTCTAATCCATTCAATAAGTACTTTGTAAAAATTGGCTGGTTTTGGACTTCGATTTTATTTTTTTGGTGCCGGGGCCTGGAGGTTAACGCATTCTTTCGATGGCTATCCGCAACGACTTATTGGTACATTATAACACAGGAATTTTTTGGATCGAGTATACTTGATAGGTTCTTTGTCATAACGGGTGGAAAGTGTTCGGATGTTTCACTATCTGGGGCGTACATGTGCAAAAGGGGAAATGGTCATTGGTACGGTGGACATGACGTTAGTGGACACTGCTTATTACTAATTCATGCTTCTCTTTTTCTTTGGGAAGAGGTTGTTCCTTTATACCATCAAAAAAACAAGAATGTACCGAACCGTCTTATGATGGCTCTTCTTATTCTTTGGTGGTGGATGCTATTTATGACATCTATATATTTTCATTCCTTCTTGGAAAATCTAACTGGTACTACTCTGGGGGTTTCGTATTGGTTGTTATTCTATCATTATATACTTCCAAGGATTAGAAACTCAACACCACACAATGACCAACATTTTAATTCAAAAATATCTAATAGCAATCAGTAGCATGCGGGAATATTCTCTTGCTGAAAATTTTATTGATGCAAAAATTAATTCATGTTCAAATGCAGATTATTTTTGTTTAAAACAAAAAATTGTTGGAATAGTATGAACTAGCTATTATTTTCAATGAATTTTAGGTGAAGAACAATATTTAATTGTCCTGGTGATTCTTCATTACAAAAGTTTTTTAATTCCCTGTGTTATCTGTGCAGTTAAAATCGTGTACGCGCAAACATAATAAAAAGAGAAAGTAATTACTTTCTATTGCAGATAATTTAAAAGATATCATATTTGATTATAAATTTATATTATACTGTACAACTGATAAAATAATTATATTTGGTGTAAATATATTTTATTAATATATTTATAATATGAATTAATATAATTTAAATATCAATTTTTGATTAATATTCCATATATGTTATTATCCAATTTAATTTAATAAAGATTTTTAAAAATCTATTTAAGAACAATTCCATTTATATGAACTTCTTTTTTTTTTTTTAACTTTATGTATAAGAAATGATTTATTAAACAATAATTTCATTTCTTTTACGATTAATAGGTTAAATAATAATATTTTTTTTTATTGCATGGCAATAATTATCAGGAATTGAATTTTTGATTGCTCTAAAGATTATAAGACGAGTATTTCAAATAATGTTATTAATAAAACTAAATACGTATTTATATGTAATGTTTTGACAGCGCCATAGCCATAAAGGAAATTCATTAAGAAACTGTCAACGTTTTTCTCGCTGCGCGAGGCAGCGTATTTTTTTTTTTAAAAAAATTTCATGAAAACATCTAAAATCGATTCGTCTGTTCATTGTGTAATTTAAAAATAAATATGGTCCGAAATCTAGATCTAGCAAAGACTTTCATCCGCATCTTCCTCCTGTTCAACATTACTCGGGGTGAGACTATCAGGAACAGATGATTCAGGGTGACGCTCTGGTGAGCGTAATTCATCATCATTCTCATTAAGATATGACGAGACGTAATCGTCATATATGCTATCCAATTTCTCTCGCCCGTTATCATGCTCTTCGTGGCGATTTTCATTAAATTCAGGTGGCAACTGCTTAGGCGAGTTTACGTCATCACTAACATAATTGTTTTTTTCTTGACCATATGAGCTATTAGAGATGCTTTGTTGTTGATCGTAAGCGTATACCACATTATTATCATTCTTAAGACCTAATTCCTCGGATGGGAATCTTTGAGGCGGCATATGACTTATCCCGCCAGGAACTTGCAATCCCCTAGCTAGCTTGACGATGTCGTTATCTAAAAAAGTGATGATTTGCCTGTGTACAGTTTTCTCTAGAAGTTCTTGATCTCCTTGTTCAAAGGCATCCAGGAGAGAACTCGCAACTGCTGATTCTTCGGATTGAACAAAGGCGTGCCTGGAATAAAATGAATCGAATAAATATTACCATCAGTATTATCTTGAAAGGAAAACATTTGATGAAGACTTAATAATCACAGGCAAAACAGTTGGAATTGCTTTTTTGCCTCAACTTCATCTTCTGCAGCTAATAAAACAATGATAATGCTCAGACATGTCTTGTTTAATCCCTGCTG